AAGGACACGCTTGGCTTGCGCCCATGCCAAGCTTCGAATGGCGTCACGCCCTTCAGGACCTTTGTGGGCGCGCGGTTGAGGATGAACACCATCATGGTCACCACCTCTCCCTAGAACTTTTGCCGGCATGCTTTTGGCCTTCATCATGGATCGAGCCATGCCGATCACCATCTGGTTCCGGCGCTCCACCATGTCATTCTACTGTGGCGAGTACGGCGCGGTGTGGTGTCGCACCACACCCTAATCCGCGCAGTACACAGCGAACTCCACCAAAGTGAATTCGCCACTGTGATCAGTCCGCAGCACGCACAACTTCTTGCCGCTCTCTACCTCCACACGCGCCTTGAACTTCTTGATCGTCTCCGCTGCCTCGTCCTTGCTCGTCAGGAGTTGTAGCCACATATAGCGACTGTAATCATCCACGAGCAGGAGGAAGTACCACCGACCACCGTTTGTGCCTAGCGTGATTGGCCCGTAGAGATCGCCGTGGACGATCTCGAGAGCGTCCGCCACGCGATACTTGGTCACCTTTGGGAACGACAGCCTCCTCTGCTTCCCAGCCAGGCAGCTGTCACATAGCTCGCCTGCGTGCTTGATGTGGGGCAGCCCTCGAACCATCTTCTCCAGCCGACCGAGCACGTTGAAGATGAGATGGCTGAACCGGGCATGCCACAGCCACGGCTCCTCGGTGTGCCGTGCTACCAGGCACACCGGCTGCTCCACCTTCAAGTCGAGCGGGTATAATCGATTACGTGAGCATTTTACCTTCGCGAGAAGACGCCGCTCCCGATCCCGAATCTTTAGGATCCCGCTCTCGATCAGTACCTCGCATCCGCGCTCGTCTAGCTGCCCAATACTGACAATGCTTGAACGCAGCTGCGGGATGTAGTACACATCCATCAGCGCGTGGTGCTCACCGTTCGGGCACCTGAAGATGATGGTGCCACGCCCTCGGATCGACACCCTTGAGCCATCACCGAACTTCACCGTGCCGGTCACGTTGCCATCGAGCTCAGAGAAGGCTGCCTTGGAGCCTATCATGTGGTTGCTGACGCTAGAGTCCAGGTACCACCACTGCTCCTGCTCGCCACCCACACGTCCGAGGTGGACTTGGGCGCGCGGTTCGTCGAGGTTGACAGCCTTCAGAGCCTTGCCATGCCCTTCCACCGCCATCACCTCTCCCTTCTCCTTAGCCTCAACTTCGTGCAGTGCACAGAATGTCGCCATCAGGAGAGGGGCCTCATTATCCTCATCAACCTACGCTAAATGGGCCTCAGCCTTCTTCTCCTGCTTACGATTTGGGCACTCCTTTGCCCAATGGCCCATCTTCCCACTACGTCGGCAGGCGTTGGGGTCGACCTTCTTCTTCTTCTTCTCCAAAGAAGCCTTGCCACGGCGCTTGCCATCGCCACCGCGGCTGAAGGAGGCTTCCCCGGACTTCTCATTTATCCGAGCAGCCCACTCCTCTGCTATCAGCGGTAGCTTACCGTTGTCCGTCGTTGTTGTGGCCTGCTCCATGCGCTCGTCCACCGCCCGTAGATGGCCTGTCACATCCTTAATGGTGAGGGTGGACAAGTCCAGCATCGTCTCTATGGAGAGAGCGATCTGAATGTACTTCACCGGCACAGAGTGGAGGTACTTGGAGATCGCCTCTTCTTCGTCGATGGTGACGCCGTGGCTCCTTAGCTTGCTGATGAGTGACTGCAAGAGGAGGGAGAAGTCCTCCACTGACTCACCATCCTTGAACTTGAGGTTGGCATACTCCTGCTTCAGCAGCTAGGCCATCGCCTTCTTTGCGTGGTCGGAGCCTATACGCATCGCTGCAATGGCCTCCCACGCGTCCTTAGTAGAGTTCTTCGTCCCCAATGGCTCCCTGTACTCCGCTGGCACAGCAGCGAGGATAGCCTCCAACACTGACATGTCATCTTCTTCGTTGTCGGTGCCTTTGTCAATGGCATTCCAGAGCCGTCGGGCTCTGAGCTTGACCTTCATGGTCACCACCCACTCGCCATAGTTGGTGCGAGTCGGCGTCGGCCAACTGGTGCTGCTGACCTCCCGCACCGTATGCGCGAGGACCTCCTGTCGTGGCTAGGCAGCCACAGCAGCGCCGCTGCTGTCGTCCATCTCTAAATCGTCTGTCATCGTCAACGGTTAGTCCGACGACGGCACTTGTACGGCTCCGATACCACTTGTTGGTCCCGAGATCTCCCGCACGGGTGAGTCGACCGGTCACCGGCGTTCTCACTCACTATGGCTAGAGGTAGAAGAAGGAAGGGAGAACAGAGCGCGCGCGCGCACAGCACAAGCACCAGCGTTGGCCGGAGCTCTGCAGAGGAGATGGCAAAACTGAATTCTCTCACTTTACTGAGTTGTAGTGGGAAGCTATATATACAACTCTACCCATCTAATTCTAGTACATAGACATGCCAGGCTACCATGCTGCTACAGTGACTAGATATGACAGCAGGTCTGACTTTGGCGCCTGCCCCTGCTGTGGTTACAGTGCGGCAGGGGAGCCTTTCGGCACTTGTCCCTGTCGCGGCTACAGTGCAGTAGCAGGGGAGCCCTTTCGACGTATGCCCCTGCCGCGCGTACAGAGGGAGAGCAGTAGATTACTTTACAGATAGCTATCTCTACCCCTATCTCTATCTAATTCTATCTACAATAATCTACTCCCTCTGTCTCAAAATATATATAGCTGCCTAAACAGGGAAGACTAAGACAACAATTTTCATGGATGCCTTGCTTTGGGTTAAAAATACAGTGATGTTAACGTAGCCAATTTTATTTCACTCGACTTTCATGGGGATTGTGAAGCGCAAAACCATCGGTATCAGTTAACTAACCGCAATTTGGAATCCATAAATGGTGTCGGGTGTCTGTCAGGAGAAGCCGTGTCAATCCCAAGTGCCTCGGTTTTGCACCACAGTATGTTGTCGAGAACATTCAGAGATCATTAGGGCCCCAATTTTATCTTGTACTTCCAGCCTCTCAAGTTGGGTGTGAATTTAGACTTTGGAGTCCTGACGTATAATTGCATGTAGTGCCTAGTCGCATTTGTCGTTAGCTGCTATAGCCGTTTCTGTTAGAATCAGATACGCCGCAGCAACCCTTGGATCTTTGAAAGAATATCACGAGCATGACATAAGCTTGCACCGTATTATAAATGATGTAATCATCACGTAGAAAACCTAGATGATGATGTTGAAGCAACCACGATAAGAAATTAAAATTTTGGCGAAGCCGACCGCAAATTCTATTAGCACATAACTTCAAAAGTGTACAAGTGATTGTCGCTCTCTCACGACCCTACTTGAGTCTCTACGACCCACTATCCTACTCGATTCTCTAGGTCCCATTGATCTGTGCCCTATACAAGAATATAGTGGAATAGAACTTCTAGCCTAATCCTCTTGAGCGCTCCTAATTGTACTTACAAGCCTTGGACGAGTCTCTTGTGTTGGCTTGGTTGATGCCTATAGCCTCTACCCTTGTTTATATAGTCGCTCCAAGGCCTCCATATATGCAAGTAGAAGTCCCACTCTTGGTAGGATTCTACAGCAACTCTTAGAAGAACTAGAAGTCCTAAAACCACACCCCTATTGCGTCATATTACAAGTAGGATTTGAGTCGCCGCACAACAATCTCCACCTTGCTCTAATCCTTTGAAATCATCGTGCTACTCTAGGCGTGTTAATTTTTATATGCCAATCGTGAGAAAATAAATAAAGATAAAACATTCAGATTAATATAAACAATTTTTATATCAATTTTCTTGGACAGCATGTTTACATGTTTACAACCTGGTCCCTCTAAATCGACCACACTCAGGCCTTGGACAACATGTTTATGTCTACAAAGCTTAAAAATAGCAGTCCCTGCTGCCTAAATGGCCGACTAGGACAGCGATTTTCATGGCAGCCTTGCTTTGGGTTAAAGAAACAGTGATACTGACATAGCCTGTTTGCTTTCACCTCACTTTCATTGGGATTGTGAAGCGCACAGCCGTCGGTTTCAGTTAACTAACCGCAGTTTGGAATCCATAATTGGTGTCCGTGGGGCAAATCCAAAGCAGAGGCGTGTCAATCCCAAACGCCTCTATTGTTCTCTGGGCCCTGAATTTCTGACTCTGCATTTGTTGTATAAGCTACATAAGCTGCCGCATCATGATTCATGCATGTGCATTCTTCGTTGTACTTGGAGCAAGTTTGTCTCCCGCTCTTGTCTCCAGTTCTTGATGCAGCCGCTCTTCAGGACTTCAGGTGTGGTCAGAACTAGTCCATGCATCTTCAGTGCTTCATCTTTACAGTGTCAGTCTACAAACGTCAGCTCCTCTTGTTCTCTCTAACGTTACTCGGTGAACAAATAGTAGGAGCAGTAGCAGGTTTCAAATGAAAGGCGAAGCAACAATGAAAAAAGTTACCAGCTCTGTTCCTTGGGTTCTTTTGAGAACGTCCAAGCAACTTTACATTGGAATTAGCTGAGGAGTTATCCTTTCCCAAGAGCAGTTTAGAGTATTAGAAACACCCATGCTACACCTGAAATACTCCTACACAGTTTAGTTAACCAACCTCCTGAATGATTGAACACAGCACCGTTTAGGTGCAAGATTCACAAGGAAACAGAACAGCTCGTGCCTTTGCTCATATTCTCTGTACATACAAAGTTCTCTGGTGAAGAAGTTGAGGAGATTGGAAGTCTCCAGTTTAACCGTGTCATACATTACAAAATTGCTCTGATGAGCACCACCAGAGCTGTTCCCTCAGATCCTCACATTCTCCTCTATCATACATGCATGATGCATCAAGCATTCAAGCTCAGCTCTCAACTTATTCAGCGCCATCAAGCCTGAGCAGTGCTTTCAATACATCTCCTTGCTCGTACTGATTCTAAAATCTACTAACATATATATATATAGACTCGCTTGATTAATAAGGAACTGTAAGTAAACTAGCTACTAGCGATTAACCCATTTTCATGTTGCAACTCCTCCGATCCCTTCACATGACGGTGCAAGAACTGGCGTTCTCGTCGTTGAACATGTCGCCGTAGCCGTCCCGCGGCGGCGAGAAGGCGCTCCTCTGCGGCGGCGCGCTGTAGTAGTAATCCTCCGACGAAGAAGCCGGCTGGTACTGGTACTGGTACTGGTAGCTATACGGCGCCGGCTGCGGAGGGCTGTAGTAGTACGGCTCGGGCTCGTACGCCGGCGACCGGTTGTAGTTGCTGTTATAGTAGGACGGCGTGTAGTGTTCGTCGATGTAGCCCTGCGACGGCCCCGGCCTCGCCATCGGCATTGGCGCCGGTGCCGGCGCCGCTGGTGCCGGGGCGGGGGCGGGGGCGGGGGCGGGGGCGTAGTAGGACGCGCTCACGCTCGGCCGCACCTGGTTGTAGCTCATGACCGCCGGCGGCGGCACCGGCATGCGGTTCACGTAGCCCGGGACGCCTCGGTCGTACTCTACAGTCACTCTGGCGTCCACCGGCTGCCTCTCCATCTCCGGCTGCTGCATCGCTTTCGCTTTCCCCTTCGCCTCGCTGGGTCCATGCTGCGCCGGTGCCGGCGCCGGTGCCGCCGCGGTGTCATCGCCGGCGTCGTCAGCGCTGGCATTTTCTTTGCTGCCCTGAGCCGGATTCGGGGCCTCGCCGATGCTCTGCTTGGGCTCCGGAGGGTTGCTCGGCTCTGCCGCGGCGGCGTCGGCTGTGTCGGCGCCGCGCTTCTCGGCAGGTTCGCTGGGTTTGCTCGGCTCGTCAGGCTGGTTGGGCTCCTGAGTTTGGCTCTCAGCTGCCGGTGGTGGTGGTGGTGGTGGCGGCTGCTCCGGCCATAGCTCCGCCTGCTTGCCGGACTTGCGCAGCTTGGCGACAAGCATGTAGGGGTCGAGCTTCGTCGAGACCGTCGCCACGACCTTGTTGCTCCGGGCATCGATTTCGCATCGGTACACGCCTTCAACAAGATCAAAAGAACACAAATTAGTATGGTCAGCATGGGGCATGTATGGTCCATCTTCACCGATCCAAATCAAATTGTGCTAGACGCGCCCTTCATTGATTTTTTTTTTTTTTTGTATAGTGCAAAGAAAAGGAGGCAGTTGCTTGCAAACAAAGGCACCTAACATGTACTGTACTAGACTACTAATGCTCAGTGTTCAGTGTTGCAATCGAAGACGCAAATTTTGCAGCATCAGGACTTGTGTAAGCAAAGCAAGGCCTTTGACAATGCGAAGCTACGTGCTGGTGAACTGAAAGACCTGTCGTATATCAAATCATCATGCAATTCGGGGCAAAATTAAACAAGAGCGTACCACTGATGTTCTGGAGCACTTTCTTCACCTTCTTCTTGCATCCTTGGCAGTGAATGGACACCCTCAGCACCACATTCTGAAACAGGGCACACACAAACGGATTGAGAACAAGAATCAAACAAAATCAGTGACTGTAACAGGAATCAGACTGAAGAACAGAAATCGCTCTGGAAACATCTACTGGAACTGGAATCCGATCAGGCCGAGGGAGAGAAAGAGAGAAGAGGGAAGAAAGAATATTGGTACCTGGCACTCTATAGGCTCTGAGGCCATGAGAGCGAGGTGAGGAAGGTGCTTGCAGGAGGAGAGGAGGGGAAAGTGTGTCCGTGGAGTCGTGAACTGTGGGGGAAGTGCGGAGGGCGATCTTTATACCCGCACTAGTTTAGTTAGAGAGTGAAAGGAATCGAAGCAACCGCCATACAGAGAAGGAATAGTACGTGCTGACAAGGTTCACTTTACCGGTTTTGAAAAAAAAACCAGAGGTCACCGATAAACGGGTTTATCAAATTTGTCGGAAATTTTCTCGGTCAAAAATAAAACAAAAATACCTAATTTGTCTAGAAAATTACATAAGTTGTCTCTAAAGCATTTAACATTAAGAACTAGCACATAATAGTATTGATGTAAGAGAATATCACACTTTCATGTAGGTGGACTAGTGAAATTTGGAATCTCGGTGATAAGTAAAATTTGTCGGACCTTAGCGATAAACGGGATTATTGGGTTTATCGAAATTTTATCGCCGATAAATTTTTCCCTGCGTGCTGAATTGAATATCTTTGGGAGAGCTGATCAGCTAGGGGAGGAGGGAGGGAGGGGGTGGCTTTACAAATGGGCGCAGCGCAGAGCGCACCACGCCCTTGGTGGCTTTGGAAGGAGGTAAAGATGGATGTGAGCCTGTGACAGTGAAAGCAAGCCTATGGAGGTGGCGATGGATGGTTCAGTGCTAGTCCTAGTCGTCTTCTTCCTTTCAGAGCTCATCATGAGCTGTACTACAATAATACTGTGCATGCAGCAGCTGAGATTTTCATTTCAGGTGATGCATGATGGCAACTAAAGCGGCTTTTTTTGGGGGGCGTTGAATTACGCTTGAACATCTCTTTTGCTAATTGTTGCTGTCTTGCTGACCTGAGCTACCTTTAGTAGAGATTTTCCTGCTGTGCTGTTCTTCTTCTCCCTTCTCTTTTGTTTTCCATAAGACCAAGCAGAGGTCATTGAGTAACATTTTAGATATGTGCGGCATGTGGACAGACAGACTGATTCATCTGATCCTCGTGTGATTTATTAGATGCTTATGTGGAGGTTTAGTTGTGCTGATATCTGTAGAGTAAGGTTAGCAGATATGTGTGCCCATATAGATACGTACTCAGAAAGATTTCGTCGGAGGAACAAATAAGAAGGCTAATGTTCAGAGTTTCAGAGAAAGACAAGTTCACATGCAATTTTCGTGCTAAGCACTAGTCTTTAGTTTGACAACATATGAGCGCTAACCATATTCTATGTTATCCCTCTTGTGGACGCATGCTCTTGCCTTCAAGCATTACAATCAAAAGAGAAAGGAAAACAAAAATATGTGTCCCTGTCCCTTCTACGCTTTTTAACACCTTTTTCTCATATTGCTGCACGTAGTCAGAGTTTCACTTGTGAATGAAACAAGCAAAAGCGAAGGCAGCAACAACTCGCTGAAGGAGACGGCACTGAATTACAACAATGACGAAGAAGAAAACGACGACGCCGAGAAGAAACTGAATACGACAGCCCCTCTCAACTCCCATATGGCTACCTGAGTGAGATTCCTTGCCCTCCCATGGAGTGTTACGGCGTCGCGGGCAACCCAATGCATGCATGCAACCGCGGGTTATTGGTGGCCAGCCGCCAGCTCCGTCACGCCAAGCCAGTTGCCGCCGCCAAATTAACACCAGAGGAAAGAAAGATTGGCCCTTGCAAATGCATCTCGTTATTGGTTCGTTAAGTTTGCCCGGCCGGGCGTGCAGAGGAAGAGCCTCGTCACAAAGCGCGCGTGTTGTGTTTTGTCACGCTTTTTTCAGTTTTGCATGGTCGGAGAAGAAAGCATCGATTCCACATTCCAGAGGAGAAGAAGCCTTTTTTGACAACGCCTGTTAGTTGTCCAAGCCTGGGGGCTGTGTGGTTCTTAGTTATATGTTGTTATTATTATTATTATTATTATTATATACATAGATACGTTTAGCTTTGTTTGAGCCATCATTAAGCGCAAATTGCAGGTGCTTGCTTTGGCCGGCCACATTATATTTGCAAAAGCTGAATTCTAGAGTGATCTGGAATTGGTATTTTTGTGTTTTTGCAGGCACGTGGAAGGAGATCGACCTAGAATATGGCTTGATGTGTTTGGTTATATATATGGATGCTTATTATTTGGTGATTTGGTCGGCAAACTTAATTGCTGTTAGGCGATCACGCACTAGTTAGTTCTGGATTATATATATATATATATATATTATGTGTATCGCAATTGTTTTGGAGATTGAGATAATATGCAGATTTTACTTTGTACATACTGAATCATGTTAGATTCTTTAGATCGTCTGGGTGTAGATCCAGTGGGTGTTTACTTGTATTTGAGATAATCAGTGACTTAGAGATTCAGAGGGAGTAGGAGAGAGAGAGAGAGGGAGACGTAGAAACATCTGACTGTTGGAGGAGCTCCCTGCCTTCGCTGGTTCGTCGGTGAAGATCTGCGCACGGGCAGCGACGATTGGTGTAGCGGTGGAGACCGGCGGTGGTGGAGCCAGTGGCGCTTTCCGTCGCTGGCAGTGCATCCCTCTCGATCGGACTAGGGTTAGACGGTGGGGTTGTGGCGGCGGCAGTGAACCTCGTACCAAGAGCCGTTTGCCCCACCTCCTCTTTATAGGCACTGTGCGACGGGGGCCCACCAGCCACTAGATGGCTAAACGTCCCCGATCAGGACGCGGTCAAGGAGTCCGTCTCGACCGTTGGATCAAGACGGATGAGATCAATTCTAACATTCTCCCCCTTGATCTCAACTCATACTTTAACTTTAAACTTTGACTTTAATCCCTTTCACTTTTATTTGTTCCATCACATATTAGTGCATAGAGCATGCTTCATCGCCACAGTCAATCGCCGATAGACTTAACAGCTACAATACACATCTCTGTTCTGAAACAGATTCTTTAACTTTGGGCCCTTTATTGTCCGGAAATCATAGGCTATACCATAAACCCATGTCGACTGTGTGTTCTCTAAATACACTGGGTGGTAAGCCTTTTGTACGTGGATCCGCAAGCACTTGCTTGTTACTTTAATATTCAATACTTTTAGTATGATTCCGGACTTTGTCCTTCACAATGTATAACTTTAACGTCAATGTGTTTGGCAGCACACTTGACCCGTTGTTATAGGAGCGAACTACTTAAATGGTTATTGCTATTGTATACCATTATCAATTTCGGTTGTAAGTTCTTTTGACCATTTCGCCTGTCCTTTAAGCCTCATATCAAGCTATACTGTGGGTATGCATCTTTGATGACACCATAACTGTTTCTTTGGAGCTTTTCCACAATAAAACTCCAACTGCGAGCGTTAGCTACTATGTGGGTTTCACTAAACATCTCACCAAAATTTAACATTTATACCCACAACTATTTAAGAGTACTTATTCTTTCTTACTCACCATGAGGCCTATAAATCTTTGCACAATTGTAAAATATTCTCAACTCCATTCCAGTGATCTATATCTGGACTGGACTTCTGCCAAAACATCCCGGATACATGAACTATGTCAGGGTAAGTTCTTACTTATAAGCACTCATTAAGCTTCCAATAGCTGAAGCATATAGGACGTCCTTTCGATCTCACATTGGTTCTTGGAACACTGAAAGTTTCCAAAACTATTACCCTTTACTATAGGAATTGGCGCAAGTTTACTCACATATATACTTTATTTCTTTAGAATCTTCTCTAAGTATACACTTGAGATAGTTCTAATATCCCTTTTCCTTTTGTCTTAGTACATTCCAATTCTTGGAACGAATGACGCTTTACCAAGATCATTCTTATTGAAACTTGAGGACAAGAACTGTTTCTTCTCCAACAGTAGATTAACACCACTACTAGCGAGTAAGGTGCTATCCACATGCAGGATTAGGAAAATAAATTTCCCATGTTTAAACTTTGCATAAATACAATTGTCCTCTATATTCTCTTTAAAACCCAAACTTTCTTATTGTACTGTCAAACTTCAAGTACCACTTTCTTGAAGCTTCCTTTAATCCATAAATGGATTTCTTCCGGCAATATCCCTTACATTCTTTTCCTTCCACGACAAAACTTTTGAGTTATGCCATGTAAACTTTTCCATACAAATCCCCGTTGAGGAAAGTGTCTTTACATCTTTCTGATGTAACTGTAAATCATAATGTGCCACTAACACCATTATGATTCTAAAAGAATTCTTGCATGCTGATTATAATATATTCTTTCTCTTTGTGTAAATTATTTCACCACAAGTGGCGCTTTATAGCTTTCAATATTCCCTTTTGATATCTTTTTATATTCCCTTTAGAGTCACCTTTGTCTTGTAGACCCATTACAGCCTACTGTTTTGGCTTCATTGGGAATTTCTTCTAAGTCCCAAACATCATTGGTATTTATCGATTTCATTTCATCTTTCTTTGCTTTTTGCCATTTAGACGAGTGAACGCCTCTCATGGCTTTTCAAATGAGGTGGAATTATCCTCCATTTGAATTTCTTTCTTATTCATTGACTTCTTAGTCACCAGAAATATCTTATTTTTTTATTCTTTGAGACCTTCTGGGGTCTCGTGGCACTTCTTTCATATGGGGCTATTGTTGCTCTTTATTTCTAAAAGGCAAATGTTCTATAGCCTCCTGTATCACAAGATCCTTGTTTACTTATTCATCTTCTTTAAGAGCTAACATCAGTTGTTGTATATGTCATACAACATCAACATGTATTAAGCAATTTGTTGCTCTAAAACACTGTAGTGGATATGTAATCCCACTTCTATTCAAGCTTTAGGTATTTACATACCAAGCTCCCTCAGATTACTCCATCTTCTGTAAAGATGGTGTATCTTCAAATTTCTTATTTTTGGTTTAATCTACTAAAAAACTCATATGGCACGTTTAGCACCGCCTTGATAACTCTGAACTCGTCCAGTATAAATACTAGCCGACTATGCTATCTTCCTATCGGAACTGTAAAAGGTCCAGAAATTTAGCTATTTCTTTACTTTAGGGGTATCATTATT